TCATCCCACCCTTTTTGGATACCACCTGGGTGGGACTGACCCACTCGCTGTCGGAAATGGCAAAGATGATCCCCGCGTCCATAAGCTTCACGATCTCTGCCCGAACCACAGGATCCAAGTTCGGTGTTAGTCTTCTCTGCGGCTGTCTCACTGGCCGCATCTCATCCTCCAGCAGTATCCGGTGGGAGCAAAAGGAGTAGCTGATCCCCTGGATATCTGTGATCTTCAATGCTAGAGCTCGCTCGTGCAGCTTCAGCAAGGCCACCAGTCTGTCCTTCTGCTCGGGTGTGAGGGGCCACCAGTCTGTCCCCTCCCGGAGAAATGCATACTCCAAATGAGGAGGGAGGGGCTTTATCTCCAGCTCCGGTGGTTCCTCCAAAGAGGTAGTGATGCGGGGTGAGGATGAGATCGGTTTGAACAGCCGGTCGCCCTCCAGGGATGTGCCACTCTCCAGCAAGACCAACTGCTCCGCCAGCTGTGGCTCCTACGATGCCTGCTCACCTAGCAAAATACAACACTCAAGAGCATCGTCAGTACCCGCACTCGTTATAGAGAGTGCGGTCTCAAAATCAGCAAACACATCACCGTAATCTAAGTCATCATGCAAATGGGAATGTTTCCCATTCTCAGACACAGAAAAAGTAGATTGTTCATCACCAGCACGCAGGATCAATTTACCACTATGCACATCAATAAGCGCCTTGGCGGTGGCGAGAAACGGTTTACCCAAAATCAAAGGCACATCCACATCCTCATTTATATCTAGAATAACAAAGTCAACAGGATATGTGATGCATCTACATTTACAAGCAGATCCTTTATGATACCCCTAGGATGCGCGATGGAACGGTCAGCTAACTGAATGCTCATCCTAGTAGCTCTAGGTTCACCTAGGTCTAGCCTTTTAAACAATTTGTAGGGCATGACATTTATGCTAGCGCCTAGGTCCGCCAAGGACTTTCCTACATGCATGCTGCCAATAACAAGAGGGATAGTGAAGCTCCCTAGGTCTTTACGCTTCTCGGGCAGCTTGTTCTGCAGGATAGCAGAACACTCCTCGCTCAGCATCACTGTCGAAAGATCCCCAAGTTTCTTCTTGTTGGTGAGGAGGTCCTTCATGAACTTGGCATACTTGGGCATCTTCGACAGTGCCTCCACGAACGGCATGCTGATGTTGACCTGCTTCAACATTGCCATGAACTTGGCAAACTCAGTCTCCAGCTTGTCTTTATGTAGGCGAGTGGGGAAGGGAAGCTGGGGTACGTGCTCCTTAACCACTGGCTGTGGCTTGGGAGCAGGTGCTTCTTTGTCCATCCCCACTTCTGCATTGTCAGCTGGAAGTGTTGAAGCAGGTAGTGGTCGTCCTGCCTGGGCTGTGCAGGAGCAGCAGATGTGGTCTTGCCACTCTTGGTAGTGATGGCATCCAGCTGCTGGTGCTGGTGAGGCTCACGAGGGTTCGGAATAGTGGTGGCAGGGAGAGTCCCCGGTGCCCTGGTAGTATTTTGGCGAGCTATGCCACCAATCTGTTTCTGTAAATCTTGCAAAATGGCACCTTGGTTCCTCTGGCCTGCCTCCAGTGAGGCTATGTTCTGGTCCATCCTCGTGAAATTTGCTTGGATGGTAGTCATGAATGCCGCTAGAATGTTTTTCCGCTCCGTCATCTGATTATCTGGGACTGGAGCTGTTGCTGGCTCGGCATACTAACGTTGAGGCTGCTGAAATGGCTGCCCCTGCCTAGGCTGGTAAGGCTGCTGCTGTGGGACTGGCCCCTGTCTAGCTGGAAAGGCTGCCTCTACTGAAAACCACCAGCAGGTGCTGGGAAACCAAGTGGTTTAGTGGTGTTGCTACTCCAAGAGAAATTAGGACGTTGGCGCCAACCCTCATTGTATGTATTGCTGTAAGGGTCAAGGCGCCGAGCATTGGCGATGAAGTCCAACTGCTCTTGGGGAGTAGAAGACTCTCGCATAGCCTGGCAGTCTTCCACCAGATGATTTGAGCTCTCACACCATTGACATTGAGCTACTGGGGGTGTAGCCAAACCTCTGCCCGAAATAAGACTGTTGGGCTGCTTCAATGTCTGTACTAACTCGGCCACCTGCTGCTCGAGCCCGGACCTGGCCTCCATGGCGTGCACACCATGATCCCGGGAATTTCTGCCTCTGGTGCTCTGCCCCCAGGAATGATCTCTGCCAGCCAAGGTACTGATCATCTGGTTCAGTTCGGGTGGAGTCTTAGTAAGAATATCCCCTCCTAGGCATAGAGACTCAATCACCCTCTGGCTGTCCGGAGAGAGAGCATTGTAGAAGTTCCCCACGGTGAATGCATCACTAACTCCATGATGAGGACACTGCCAGAAAAATCCCATGTACCGCTCCCATGCATCATGAAGGGACTCGTCTGGCTCCTGGCGGAAGTGAGTGATCTCCCGCTGGATCTCTATGGTATTTGATGCCGGATAGTACCTGTGCACAAACTTGTTGGCGAGATCGTCCCAAGAAGTGATGGACAATGGGGGTTGGGTCTCCAACCACCTCTTAGCATGCCCCGCCAAAGAATGGGGGAAGAGGTGAAGGCAGATCGCATCATCTGGGACACCGTTCATCTTAAACCCGTTCGTCAGCTGCAGGAAACGGTAAAGATGCACCCTTGCTTCCTCATACTTCAAGCCATGAAACTGGATAGAGGATGTAATTAGTTGAATCCAACATTGCTTGATCTCGAAGTTGTTCGCTGGAATGGGCGGGTAGAGGATGACATAGCGGATATCAGCAATCCGTGGAGTGTAGTAGTACTCCAAGGTGGGACCCGGCGACGGTGGTTGATGATGAACCCCATCTGCCTGGGGCATTGGGTTGTTCCCGAGGATCTGGTTCACTGGGGGAACCTGGAGAGGTATCCCCTGTGGTGGGTTATGGTCTCCTTGTCTTTCCATCTCGTACTCTTCCTCGGACTCGCTGCTCAAGTGGTCGTCTATGCGCTCCTCCGTAGCCAGTATAGCTCGTTGTTGTCTCCTAAGTTGGCGACAGGTGCGTTCAAGCTCCGGATCCAACGGCAGTAACCCTCCTGACTGGCTACGGGTCATGCACTACCTGCACACAGTCAAGCAGCAAACCCGTGAAGGCACAAGTGTGACCAAGAAAACAATGCGAAAAAGAAAAGCTAAATTAACAGAATTCCGTTTCTTCAACAACCTAGTCGTCCCCAGAAACGGCACCAAAAACTTGACTCGCTCCTACTGTCACTCTAGAAAATGGCCAAGTGTAACCACCTCCGGGAAGGAGTGATGACTACTCCGTGATGACTACTCCGTGAGTTCTTATTATTTAGCAGTGAAACTTTAGTGAAGGTCCAAACAAGCAAACAAGCAAAGCAAGTAAAAAGGGTTGTTTTCCAGTCGAGAGAGGTCACCCGGATATGGTTCCCCCTAGACTGTGGTTAAGTCGGATTTTAATTTACCAAGTTTAGGTTCAATGATAGTTATACTGCGAGAGGTTCTTAAACAGTCTGAAGTCTTGACTAACCTCAAAACCGGAGTAAACAGATTGAGGCCCTAACGAACCAAACCTCCATTACCGAAGTGAATTCGGTACAGAATAGAGAATTGACTTCTCGACTAAAGTCGTCAATCCACTACCTTCAATCAAGGGTGCTCTATCTACCTAGGCAGATATTCTCTTTCTAGGTTAAAGCAAAAACAACGGGAATTTGATCAGGATTCATGCCATTCAACAAATCAAACCTCAATTGAACATAATCATATCAATGAATCTGTACTTGGGTTCATACAATCAAACCTAACATACAAATCTAGGGTTCTTCATACCCAGGTGAATAAGAAAATTACTCCATAGAGAGAGATGGAAAATCTAGCTCAGATGCGGAAACCATACTGTGAAGGCTGAGAATCTGCTTCTGGCACTCAATCAGGTCTTCTCCAAGCTCAAGTCGGGCTCCAATGGTGATGGAGATCGATCTATGACACTTGCAGGATAAGTTTCGTCACTTTCTCTCTCTAGGTATCGCTTTTTCTCTCTAAAACTCGGAACTGTCTTCCTTTGGCTGAAAATTGGGTTAAAACCCAGAAAATCCCGACTCACACGGCCAGGCCACACGGCCGTGTGACTTTCCCAGCTGCCCGTGTGGCTTTGCAAAACGCGGCGTTTCGTTAAGTGACTTCAGGCTTCCTACACGGCCAGACCCATACGGCCGTGTGGATTTCCAGGATGTCCGTGTGAGTTCCCTGGAATTTCCACACGACCACAAGGGGTCCCCTACACGGCCCGTGTGATTTTGCCCGTGCAATTTGATGCCACACGGCCAGGTCACCTGGCCGTGTAGGTTTTAGGCGTGCCCGTGTGGCTCCATCAGCTTCCCGCGAAATGTCCAATCTTCGTCCAATCGACCCCGAAATCGTTCCCAAGTCTTCATTCACGTACTAGGACCTGAAATATCACAAACAAGAACAACCTAGCGTGAAATTGGCCTAAAACGCGAGAATCGACATCTCAAACGGCTCAAGAATAGGGTTAAAAACATGTGTAATCAACGGTCTATCAAACAGCTACTAGCCAAACGAGATGCAGCATGAGTAATACATGTATCCTACCCAAAGGAGCTAAAGATCGCAAATACTTGACTCTCCCTACAAGAGATGCACGCAAGACAACAGGTGTATAGGTGTATAGGTTATATATCCCCCTCAATTTGCAATCTTTGGGTAAGCAACCAAGGGTTCATAAGTGAAACCACGCTAGTGACTTCAACCAAAACCTTACCTATCAGTTCAACACAACAACTAAAGTAAGAATAAGATCATTCAAGACCAAATGCATTTCCTATTACTGTATTGAATAAGCTGAAACATGATGATCAAAACTCAGAACCATTAGTTAATCACCATAGGAGTAAGACATGAAATAATCAGCAAGAATCAACCTTCAAATTCATTAGAACTCCCCGAGAGAGGCCATATATATAACATAGAGAATTCTATTCTTAGTCTCCCCCTAAGATCAAGCAGAATCCACCCAATCCTAAGATCTATCGTGATTTAGCAGCATAAAGAACATTTGCAGCATAAGTAAAGCCCAGCACTGGACTTAGCCAAAAGATATGGAACAAATAGAGCTATAAAAACACCTTCAATGCAAAAGGGCACAAAATGGGACTGTAATCAAATCATGCAATAGTCTTTCTATGAAAAGATCATAGTTAGCAAAAGATACGAGATAATGACTAACCAGACCACAACCAACAAGTCGAAACAACATCATACCAGTTATCACCATAAAAAAAAATTATTGCCTTACACATATGGTAGGAGCTCTCATTGTTGAGAAGCAATAGACTTCCTGCAGTTCCCAATCCCAACTTCTGAAATATCAAATATCATTTTGCTTTTTAACCCAAACTTGTTTGAGTATGGGTTTCCAATGCCATGAATATCGAGGAATAGCTTTATGACAACTTCTACTAAAATGGCCAGGTTGTAAGCATGCAAAACAGTTTAATAAACAAACCTTGTTAAAGCTATTATGATGAGATTGATTAGGTCTAAGATTGGTCTTCCTCTTCTCACAATGCAATCTCTTATGCACATGCTTGTGGTTGACGTTCGATGTGGAATGCTTTACTCTTCTGCTAACAACCTTAGGAGAATGGCATTGAGATTGACTTGAAAGGTGCTTTCTAGCTATGTTAGGTTCTTTAAATGTTGACATACTGGTTGGTTTGCTGCCAGAGAAAGAAGCATATGATGATTTATGTTCTAACAACTTATATAGATGATTCTTGTCCATTCTAAGGACCTCATTTTCATGTTGCAGCTCAACAATCTTAATGTAGTTTAGCTCTGTGGTTCTAGTAAGGTTGACTACATCAGTAGTCTTTTTACGAACCTCTTCCCAAAAACAACAATACTTAATTTTTAAGCAATGACACTCATCTTCTAAGTTTTTCAGAGCAGACAGGAAATTGTCAAAATTTACCTTGGATGATTTGGTATCTGACCTTACTTGGATATTGGCTGATTTGAAGTATATCTCCTTATCACATTCAGATGCACTGGCTTCATCTTTAAGAGTGAACGCCATATATTCTTTTTCTTTGATTATATCATCATCTGATCCCGATTCATACTCACTCCAAGTAGGCAACATCTAGGTTCTTGTGCCTTTACACTCTGAGGGCAGTTTGCACGAATGTGGTCAGATTTGCCAGATTTGTAACAGCCTTGCGACTCCTTCTCTACTTGCACATAAGTCTCTGGTCTGCTGTGAAAGCAACATATCATGGAAAAATTGTTTGTTACTATCATAAGAACTAGGCTTATCTAATTCTCCACCTTGACGTTTCTACTCGGACTTGTACTTTAGCATTCTATGAAACTATCGATTGACTAGAGCAAATTCTTTATCAAATTCATTATCATTATCTGACTCATAGTCATGAACTTGGTACTTGAAAGCTAAAGAGTGCCTGCGTTTTTCATCATCACGGCCAACCTGATTAAGGACATGCTCGTGACTGAGCAATGACCCGATTAGCTCATATATAGCCAAGGTATTAAGGTTTCTAGCTTCTTATATTGCTGCCCGTTTAGGTAACCATTCCTTAGGGAGGGACCTAAGAATCTTCCTAATAAGGTCTTTAGTAACAAAGGTTTTACCTAATCCCTTAAGCTTGTTGATTAATATGGTGAATCTAGAGTACATGTCGTGAATGTTCTCACCTGGCATCATGTCAAAGGCCTCATATTCATGCATAAGGAGATTGATACAGGTCTCCTTGATGTTAGATGTGCCCTCATACGTCGTTTCAAGAGTCCTCCAGATTTTGCGAGTGGAGTCATAGTTCTCAACCTTGTCGGCTTCGTCGGGCACCATGGCGGAGACCACAAATTCTGTTCATCAGTATTCATCGCGAGCGGGCCGTCTCGAACAACCAACCAAAGGTCTTCCTCGACTCCCCATAGAAACGTCTTCATATGTTTCTTCCATGACGTGAAATTTGAGCCAATGAAGATAGGAGGGGAGTTGAGAACTGCACGACCAAAATTCAAAGACGCCCTGGATCTTTTACTTGGCAGCAGTTAGCTTCGTCAAGCTCCTACTCTGATACCACTTGTTAACCGAGTCAGAGGATGAACTTAGGGATTTTGACCCAAAACAAAAGTCAACAAAGAAAATTGAAAACGAAAAGGGAAAGAGAAGATGAAGCTGAGAAGCTTATGTTTCTTCTCAATAGATGGTCACGAAAGTGGGCTCTAATGGCCAAAGCCCAATGTGAAAATGGAATGAATAAAAATAACAACGTGGGCTTAAGCTTCAAAGCCCAAAGGTAAAATAAACAAATGCTAAAAACCAGTTGCTCATCTTCTTCCTACAGTTGTCGAAGGAAAAACAACAGGGAGGCATAAAACAGAGACTACTAGACGCACAGTTGAACATGAAAAGTAAGAGCAACAAACAAGTAATGAACACACGATTTTTAACGAGGTTCCCAATCTACTGGTCAGTCCTCTTCCTAGAATCAGTACCCACTGATTTCTAGGAAACTCTTTATATTATGTTTTCTCCTATCAAACATAAACTGAAACAAAGACACAAATACGATAAAGAAAGAACAGAGTAACCAATTCCCGGATCCCAACCAAATACGATAAACAAAGACACAAATACGATAAGAGATTCGCTATTCTGATTTTCCTTTCCCAAACCGTCCAACATATACTACTCGAAAAAAAGAAAAAAAAATCTTCATCTAAAAAGGTGGCTATTGAGCAAAAAAAGAAGAGAAAATTTGCCTCCAGGAAGTTAGATAACATAGCAACTGATTTTACTTCTAGCCAAATATTGTATGAAGAACAAATTATTAAATATGTTGGGAGTGACATATTTGCTAGGTAAGTTTATGTTCATACTCTTTGTATACGTTTATTCATTAGTTTGTATTTTTCTTCTCGGTTAATGAATTTAACTGAATATGTTTGCATACATATGTAACAATGAAATTCTTGTCGATGTAGGTGGTGCTAAGTATTGCTTGTCACAGAAGGATACTCAAACAACATGTGTTGAGAATGTTTTATCAATCAAATTTCTCAATTTTTATGTGGACAATTTCATTTGTACTTCTTGTGACAATGGATGCTATGTATTATTCATAATGATTTTATACTTTGATTATGTAGTGTGTACACTTTACGTTAACCATTGTGTTTGTTGATCTTTGATGTTGTTCTTTATGTGCAGTGGCTTTTCTCATATTGTATGGATGACCATTTTATGGTATTTTGAGTAACTTGAAGGATAGTCATTTAGAATACCTTGAATCCTATCCTGATAAGCATTTTCTAGATCTGTATATGATGGATGGAGAACTGGTCGTCCAGTATGCAACACCTTACATTCAACACCTCATGCCAGGAAAGTATAACTTTCGTAGCGACTTCAAATGGTAGAAGCTCACTATCCCATATAATGATTTCACTAGTGGCAGCATTATATGTCTAAACTACTGTGAAAAATGGGAAGGTGTGGCTACTAAAGACAATGAAGAAAAATGATCTTCTCATTCCTACATTTTCAGAAGGAAGATTGAAGTTCTGCTTAGTTTGCTGAATAGTCCAAGGAACTTGTTTATCACACAATTGAAGTCGTAGGTGGCTTTTAATGAAGACTCGTTGATGACATGAGGGAGCCAAAGTACTAGGTATTTGCTTGACAACTAATGGAATAGGGGATCAATAGTAACTTTTTTGTAATCCATTAGAGTATGCACTAGTATTACTTTTTGTTACTTTTGTTTGTAATGAGGTAGACATATGAATAGTAGTGTGGTTGTTGGTGTTATGTTTTGTGTTGTTGGGACTTGGGACACAAGGCTATTGCGTACCATAAATTTTTGTGAATGTTAACCCTTGTCTATTTGTTAGTGAACAATTTATTACCTGTTTTCTATGTTCATCCGCCTACTAATATTTATTATAGTGGTTTGTATGTTTTGTTGGGGTGATTTGTATTCGTTGTGATTGCGTATGTACAATTTATGACACTAATTTGTATTGTTTATACTCTCTTTCATTTGTTTGTTTGTATTGTTTGTGTGTTTCAAGAGTTTGTGCGCCTTATCTACTTTGTATGGTTTTTACTTCTTTCTAAGACCGGTAAACGGTTATCATGTTATTGGTGTAACCGATAATCGAAAGAGAATTAGTGATTAATGGTAACACATATAACTGATTGAATAGTAAACGATAGGTTTCTGGTAGTCAAATTTAGCAAATTACTAACCTTGTCAAATCACTTGGTTATGGATTGATATATATGTTCAGTTATTTTTATTCAATCATTACAACTAAAAAAACATACGTATATACAATGCAGTTAAAAGCGCGATTCTACCTAGAAGCGAAAAATGGGTAAAATCGTAAAACGTAGAATCAAAGCATAAAAGCGTAAGTTTTTTACGCACTCTATAAAATATGTTAAGTACAACATATAGTATGTAAAATGTGAGTGTGTAGATTCTAAATAAGTGAATAAATACATGAAATTCATAATTAAAATGTAATATCTAACACATAAACTAATTTGTGTTGACTCAAAAGTAAAGAAAACTCATAACATCTTAATAATAAGCTCATAAACGTAGATCATAACCCGTAAACGAGCTTGAGAATCCAAATTCTCATAAGCTGGTTTGAGTTTACATAATTACATACGATCAATTGCCCATAAACTTTTATCGTAACCCAGGTAAGAGCCACATGTGAAGATTAAGGGAGAAGACTGATAAAAGGTCCGCGACTGTTGAGAATACCATTAGGTGTCTTTTCAACCTAATGTGAAGCCCCTATCTCGACACTAGTTGTAGAACGAGTGATGAATCATGTTTTCCTTTTTTTATTTTTTGCTGATATGTCTCCAAAATTACATCATTTTGGGCCAATTAGCACATTTTTATGAGATGATCAAAATCGTATAAAAACGCTTCAGAATCTAGATTTTACCGATTTTAAGCGTTTTTACTTTTTACCGATTTTACCCATGTTTTTACCAATTTTTGTGACTAAGCGACTTTAGGTAGAAACTAAAACGTTTTGGTGGCCTTACGTTTTTACGTTTTATGCGCGATTTTGACTGCACTGCGTATATATGAAAAATCTTTAAAAATGCATAATTAAGAAAAGGAGGAGATCTTTTGTTGGTTAAGTTATCGATAAGTTATTTTGGTATAACCTTGTCAAATCACTTGGTTAAGGATTATCCGGTTAACCAAAAAAATAACCGAGAACAGACTACACGATTATGGTTATAACTAACTAAATGGTTAACAGTAAATACAAAATGTTTAATGGTTAACCGAGAACCGATTAAATGATTCAGATTATAGCCCAACTAATTGCCAGCCTACTTTTCACGATTCTTCTTTGCATGGTTCAGCTTGTATACTTCAACAGAATTATTTATATACATTTGCTTTAATATTTTGTACACGTCATTGTTTTTATTTGTATCCTATCTTTTGCAAACTTGTATGTTAACCTAGAATAAACACGACTAACATACAAAATATATACCTATTATTGGAAGGGTAACATAGCACTCAATAGTCAATATGTATTATAGTAGTTAAAGCCATGGACAAGGATGAGCTACGCATAAAATGCAATTGCTTAAAATGACATTTATTCAAATATGACTTTGTAGTGTGGAAAGCAAATATATATTTACAATTTTTGCCGTTCTTGTAAGTAATGTAATCAAAATCGTGCTTTAAAATTTAAAAACTTATGTTTTTACGCGTCTATGTCACCAAAACGCTTTTACGCAAATTCGCAGTTTTTATAACTAATGTAGTTAAAAACATTATTTAAAGATTAAAAGCTTACCGTTTTACGCTTCAATATCACCAAAACACTTCTACATAGAAACACGCTTTTGACTACATCGCTTCTAACATTTGTTGTCTTTTTCATCTCAAATGATCTCAGCATGATATTTCCTCCTTTTCCTTGCAATAATTTGATCACTTATAAGTTTGACGGCTTTTTCTCTTTGTGATCCTCCCTCTAAACTTGTTGGATTCAATTTCGCTTCTACAATAGAAAAGATTGGAATTTTAACTACAACAACTCTGTTGGATTTTCGGTAAAAACACCATCTACTAACAATACAAAACAGACAAACTTATATTGCAAAGTAATAGAACAAACAAACATACTAAGAATACAAACAGTTAGTGATATCATAACAAGAATACTAAGATCACAAACAATTATGTCTATGAATATAAACTAAAAGGATTATATTGTAACACACACAAAAAAAAACATACTAAGAATAAAAACATCAACTGATACCATTACAAACTTACCAAAACAAGTTACAAACAAATAGACAACTTAAAGGTAGAATTGTTAATGAGAACCAAGCCAAGTTTTACCATACTTCAGGCTCGACTCCTTAAAATATTTCCATGTTCGAGCTAAGCTCGAGTGCGATATGAGATTTAACAAACAGTAGCATAATGAGCCAAAATTGAGTTAAGCTCATAAAAGAGTAGTTCTAGCTCAAGATTGTGCTAGAATTCATCTCAAAATTACATTCTAACCAGTAGCAAACTCTAGCACATCATTACAAATACTAAATGAAATTAAACGTGTTTGAGAAGATGTTTTGAAATTCTCAACACTAACCATAAAATCATGAGTTTGAAACTCAACCGACAACTACCAAAATTCATATTTGAAGTTCTAATAGCAATAGACACTATCATTATTTTTCAAGCATAGATGTTGTCAAGCCCAAACTCGTGGGTTTATCCGCAAAAAAAACCCGGGGTAAAACCCGCTGGGTTTGAAAAACTCAAACCCAACCCAACCTGTTGGGTATCCGCGGGTTCATGGGTACCCGTGGGTTTTTGTGGTAAAAAATTTACAATAACAAGTTTCTTTCAAAATAAAAGTTAACATTAATTTTCTCATACAAATTATTCATACAAAAAACACCAATCTAGAGCATACAAGCAAACCGCAAATGATCAATACAAATTGTTCAAAATTAAAGATAAACATCTATAAACAATAAGATTAATTGAAAGCTTCTTACTCGTCAACTAAGTTTCTTCACTCTCCACTTCATGATATCAACTTCATTCTAAACAATTAGAAACAACAAATTATATATGTCTCCACAAACATAAAGAATTTTAATTGTTTAAGGAAGATATATTATTTAGAGTATTAAATATACCGGGAAAGTAATTATATGTGTGTGGGCGGGTAGCCATGGGGCGGGTTTACCTAAACCCAAACCCAACCCAACCCGGTGAATAGTGTAGCGGGTTTAAACCCGAACCCGGCCCAAAACCCGTCAACACGGATTTTACCCGCGTTGACCAGGTTGGATCGGGTGGGTACCCGTGGGTTCGGGTTTTGTTGCCATCCCTAGATGAGACTGATGGCGAGGGAGAGGATGACGATGATGATGTCTGAGGGATGTTAATGATGATCCTTAAGATCTTATGTGATGTTCTACTCTTAACTATTAATTAGATTAAGTGATTTGTATGAGTTTGAGGTTGCTCATTTGTGTGTTTATGTTATGTATAAGAACAAATATGAACTTTTTTGTGTTTATTTAGCAGACAAACTTATATTGGGAAGTAATCAGGTTATGTGTGATTGACTATTATTCAAAATATGCATTGTTATTACTATATGATGTTTGAAGTATTTATTTTTAATATGAACCTTAATATCTTATGATTTTATGTTTTGCGTCTACGATTCTAATTTTACCTCCATTTTTTATTTTACGTAAAATAATGATTTTGACTAGGGGTGGAAGTTTGGTTTGCGGGTTGCGAGTAACCCGCAAACAGCACCAAACCGCACACTTTGTGGATACCCATACCCACAATTTGTAGATAGTGAGTTGGGCGTGGGTAGCAAAATATTGATTCTTGTGGTTAGTGGTTACCCACTACCCACAGCGGTTTACCCATATTAACCACATTAGTTATATTTATTTCTTCAAATACTTTGTAACCCACATTAGTTATATTAGTTTGTGAAACTGGGAAGACTAAGAATTAAAGTAGCTAAATACGCACTTATTCTATAAAACAAAACAAAGTCAATCCGCAATGTTCATGTGAGATATTTTTATCAAATAAGCATTGTCCGTGTGGTATATGTTTATTTTATTACAAAATCAAGTCCATAGATATATTTAGATAAATTAATCGATTCGTTAAAAGAGGGGAATAATTGATAAATGTTAGTCTGATACCCAAAATCATCTCCATTTCTCCACGAATTCACGAACAACACAACATGCAACCAGCTACCAACAATACAAGACTATAATCGAGAATGGAGAATAATCAAATCATTAAAAGCGGGCGCCTCCACTTATCAAGCCACTTTTGTGTTTTGTTGTTGTTGCCATTGGAGGAGCTGTGACATGCAACGATGTTTGCCTGGTAATGTTATCTTCAAATCTCTTTCCAAATCCATCTCATCTAAATTTACACTAACTAACCTATTATATTCGAGATTTATAATTTATTTAACACTTTTTTAACTTTCTATTATGTATGTAGGTTTGAGTCTTTAATTTTAGGTGGTTTTACTGATTTTTTATGCCCGAATCGAGGCGGAAACAGAGGCAAAAGGACGGATTCTTTCCACGCACGCAGGTAGGGGTTGTTTCAGGTCGGTTATCGGTCAGTTACTCAGCTAAAACCGAACCTGCCAGCAATATTTCAGTTGAACAGCTAACCGAACCAAAAATCGGTAACCGACCAGTCTGTGATCGGTTAACTGTGCAAACCTTCTTGGTAGATTGTCGGATGGTAGAAAGAGGTGGTTCGATTAATTGATAACCGAATATTTGGTTTTCGGTTAAACCAAAACCGACCACCCTCCAACCCTAGCGAGAGGAATGGTTACCTCAATGGCGTCATGACAAAGGTTCAAGGGTGCACCGCTGACTAGGGTGATTTCTAATTTGATAGTCTCTCGATCGAACCAAAACCGATCGATATTGCCTGATATTTCTAGTTTGACCCAAAACTCAAACGACATGAAAATGTGGAAGCTGAACTCATACCATTTCGGACTGGCTCTGATTTCCAGTCCGACCACTCGGTTTGGTCCGATATAGTAAACAATGATTCGAACACGAGAAAATGGAAAGAAACTTGCGGGGGCACGTGACCGTCTCCTTCGGGCCTCTAAGTTCCAAGTCCAACTTCCATCCAATCCAACTGAAAGTTAAACCCCGCCCTTCTGATTGAAAAAAAGAAAAAGAAAACAACCAAAACTTAAACCCCCCGCCCTTATCCGAATTCCGAAGTCGAAGGAATCAGAAAATGTCGCTGCTCATTCCCCCTGTTCCTCCTCGCTTCTTCGTCTCCCCTTCCAACTCCAAGCTCGCCTCATCATTCCCCTCCCGCTTCGTCGGAGTTCGAGCCAACGCCGCACCGTCGTCGACTGATAGGAAACCTAGAAGGAGGAAGAAGCAGACACAACAGCAGCAAACCGATGCTGATCCTTCTTTCGGTTCCTACGCCGTCGCGTCCGCCGCCGAGAAGTCCCTCCGCTTCGCATTCATGGAGGAGCTCATGGACCGCGCCAGGAACCGCGACGCCTCCGGCGTGTCGGATGTAATCTACGACATGATTGCTGCTGGGCTCAGGCCTGGCCCGAGGTCGTTTCATGGCCTCGTCGTCGCCAATGTCCTCAACGGCGACCATGAAGGCGCGGTATCTATCTACTCTTCTAATTTTCACTTTTCTGTTCGAATATTCGAATTAGTCGGCCGGCAGTTGATGCTGTTCAATTGAGCTGACTGTGTATTTGTGCCTTACTGTTACTTGAACTATGGGAATTGCAGATGCAATCGTTGAGAAGAGAATTGAGCGCGGGGCTTCGCCCTCTTCACGAAACCTTCATTTCTTTGGTAAGGTTGTTTGGCTCCAAAGGACAGGCCACCAGAGGTTTGGAAATTCTTGCTGCCATGGAGAGCTTAAAATATGATATTCGGCAAGCTTGGATAATACTTGTTGGTAAGAGGTTTTTTTTTTTACTTTACTTTTTTGCTCTTTTGTTGTTTCTCCCCTTTTCTCCTCAAGAGGTGAACGTGGTTTGAAAGTGGTTGATCTGTCTTATTGGAAGAGCAGAGGAGCTTATTAAGCAGAAATATATGGAGGATGCGAACAAGGTGTTCTTGAAGGGTGCCAAAGGTGGTCTTCGAGCTACCGATCAGCTCTATGATCTTATCATCGAGGAAGACTGTAAAACTGGGGATCATTCAAATGCCCTAGATATTGCGTACGAAATGGAGGCGGCGGGCCGAATGGCTACTACTTTCCATTTCAATTGCCTTCTAAGTGTACAGGTTGGTCGGATTGATTCCCAACTGTCAATATAGCGAATCTGCATTTCATCTATACACCCTGGCAGGGTGTTCTTGACATTCAATCCAAGATAAACTGTCATTTCTCTAGCATTTGCTTAATGATGCTATGAATTTAAACCCTAGCACATCTCCATGTTATAGCTAATTAACTTACATAGACTTTCCTGCTTTCATATACTTTACATATTCATCTGAGACCATCTATTTACTTTATTTAGGCTACTTGCGGAATACCTGAAATAGCTTTTGCTACATTTGAGAACATGGAATACGGAGAAGGTTTACACTCTTTACCTGTCTATTCTGATTGAGTGTCTTCAATTTTTCTTTGTTATCTATTTCAAGTTTGTAATTCATTGGAAGAATTGCAATTAGTTTTCTTATGTTTGAAGTAGTAGGCGAGTAATCTCGTGTTCACAGGTGGCTGTGTTCATAGGATCATATTTTAAAGGCTATATTTTGATTTTTGACATTGAGGAACATGGGGCATCCTAGAAATGATATTTTACTCTTTGGTGAACTGTGAACTGCCTTCTTTTGGGCAAGCAATTCTGTGCTGCTGAACTAATGATTTATAGTGTGTCATATCTCCTCCATCTGAGCTTAACAACTTTCAAGAGTCGGTCTTTTCTTTAAGTTATCTAATTTGCTATGTTCAGAGTTTTTGCTTAGACATGGTTACTGTATTTTATGACAGCTTATATGAAGCCTGATACAGAGACATATAACTGGGTGATCCAAGCATATACGAGAGCTGAGTCATATGATAGGTAAGATGTGTCAATATGTATGCTTCTGGCTATTTGACGTGCATTTTGAAATTTCTATTAGTTATTGTGTAGAGATCTTTTCTGCACTTAAGTGAGGTTTCTAAAGCTTAAAGCGTTCATATATAGCAAAGCTGGGGCGTCATTCTTCAGTCCCAATCTAAATATTGAGAGACCCCATGCTATAGGTTCTCAGTGCATGTCATGATTTTTTGGTACATTAGACGGGTTATAATGTCAACAGTCGGTCATACTATGTTTTAGTGGATTAAGGTGAAACTTAGTTTATGAATTTGTTTATCTTTTCTACCTACCTATCTTCTTATCCAGGATTTTGACATGATGTGTAGGGTTCAAGATGTTGCTGAATTGCTTGGAATGATGGTTGAAGATCACAAACGTGTGCAACCTAATGTGAGAACTTATGCGTAAGTTGGATCTTTACATGGACATAATATAGTAGTCCAAGCTAGCTTGTCTTGATTAATATGTGTAGTTTTGTTATTGAAACTAGTTCCTCCACTACATCCTGGCCCGTCTACTGTGGTCATAATGTCAGAAAGCTTAACGCTTACTTTTAAGGATTTAGATGGTATAAAGATAAATTCATATCCCTAGGTCTTGCAACTATTGAAAGTCTAAAATGGATCTTTGGCCTCATACTGGTTTCTATTTTCTATATAAGAGACTGATATCCTGTCTGGTAGAAAGTCTTGAAGCTGTAATATATATGTGGCGTTTTATTTGAAAGCTTGGTCAAAATATGTAATAACCATTTTATGTTCTTTTCTTCATTTCCATCAGATTTGGGGTACCAGACATGTTTCAGTTGGCATATGTTTTCTCACTTACACAATAAGAGTTGGCTGTTTTGTGTTTCTGGATGCATATTGTTTGGGAGAACTGGTAGTTTGTAGAAGTTATCTCTGCCTTGAAGTTTACTACCCCTTCATGAATTTGTATGTGACTTTTTAAATAAATAAATGAAAAGATGTCCTGCTCTTTGCCCGTTCTTTTCCCCCCTGACACAGTACAATCATATTGCATAATTAGGCTGTTAGTGGAGTGCTTTACCAAGTACTGCGTCATACGGGAAGCTATGCGACATTTCCGCGCACTTAAGAATTTTGATGGAGGGATGCAAGTTTTGCATTGCGAAGGGAACTTTGGGGATCCACTTTCTCTGTATTTGCGAGCATTATGTCGAGAAGGTAGAGTTTTCCTCACTCACTGTGTACCAGACTCATATTTCTTGGGCTAGTGGCTGTTACTGATTGAAGTTTCATGTTCTGGCACTTTTCTGCTTCACTTGAACTGCTGAGCTATTTCACGGAAGGAACCATGCAGAACTTTTTTGTTCAATTAAGTGCATGCCACTTTTATTTCAAACATCCATATGGCTAGTATATGCGTTATCATGCCTTCTAAGTTTGTATGGGCGTCTGTCATGCCCTTGTACCATTTCTAACCAGACAACTGTTTGGTTCTTCTATTGGAAGAGACTGAGGGGGTAAGGTTGGGTTGAGGAAGAAGGGATGTGGGATAATGCGTAGACTTAGCTAGAAGAACTTGTTTCGTATATATGAATGCATGAGTCATGTAGGATGTTCCTGAATTCTTAAAAGTCTGAGCACCCTTATCTCGGATCTGAAAAACATAGATCAATAAGATAAGAAGTTGTTAATTTTTTATGACGTTATCGATGGTGTTCATAAAAGTGGTTGTTATAGGTAAGATCATTGAGTTGCTTGAAGCTTTGGAAACTATGGCAAAAGATGGTCAACCTATTCCTGCAAGAGCCATGATACTTAACAGAAAGTATCGAACATTAGTTAGCTCCTGGATCGAACCTCTGCAAGAAGAAGCAGAGCTTGGCTACGAAGTTGATTATGTCGCAAGGTAAGCCTAAACATGACAGCTGGTAGGATCCACCATTTATTTTATTATGTTTTCTGTTGGGGTTAATTGCATGGTTGGTCACTGAGATTACAAAAAATGTTCATGTTTGGTCACTGCAAATATTTAATTCTATTAGTGGTCACCAGGTTTAGTAAAACAGACAAAGTTTGGCCACTCTCTGTTAGTCTCTGTTAGTCTCCGTTAACACCGTCATTTATTTGCTGAAGTGGCTAACAGAAATGCTGATTCACCCTTTTTAACTCGCCACGTCATAAAATCCGACCGCCATGTCACTGGAACTCGCCACATCAGATTATTATTAAGCTTTTAAAATAAAAAATTAAGATAAAAAAACCCTACACCCTCTTTCTTCCCCACCCATCTGCGATACCCATCTCCTGACCAAGTCAAGTGGAAGCAACCCATCCCTAACAGAAATCCTAATTTGGCCCCCATTTAGTTGCTTGGCGTCCATCAAAACCGCCGCCGCCACCACGCACTGCCAAAGCCTGGTAACCTACTCCTCTTCCCTGAATACACATCCACGATCTCACTCCCACCTCTTTCATCGCCGAATTCATTCGACGGCGACGAAAATCTAGACGAAGAACTCCATCGCGGAGCCAGATCGTGGAATTGGTGCTTGCCGCCTCTCACCTTTCTCTTCTTCTCTTTGATGGAGGGATTTGAGGAGCTCTGCCCTGCCAACTGGAAAACAGGGGGAAGATGATTTTGGGCCTCTGTCGCCATCAGATCTAGGCCCGTAATGACCTCGTCGGCTAGATGATTGGAAACAACAGCAGCCCCACGAATTGCAGGACTTGAGCAGCGAGGGAATCTTGAGATCGACTTTGACCAGCGACGACTTTGGGTGAAATCCGGAGATCGACGCGGCGGTGAGGGATCTAGAGACAGACGCCACGATCTCCTTTGTTTCTCGCTTCATCACCGACACCCGGCTACGGCGACTTCACAATGACGACACTGTGTTCTAAATGCATATGTGTTTTTGGATTTTATTTTCTTTGGGGTTTCTGATCGAGGGGAGGAAAAAACATAGGGGAGCACCTGCGGTGAGTGGTTTGTGGAGGTTCGTGGTGCTGACGACGGAAGATCTCCTGACGTGGTAGCTGAGGTGGGAAAGGGGAAAAGGAGCGGACTGTCGGCGACCGCCTCTGGCGATACTCGGGACTGGTCGAAACTGTCGCAGTGGAAGAAGAGGAACTTCAGGAGGCGATGAGTCTGGTTTTCGGTCAAAGAGGAAGAAGAGGAACAAATCGTGAGATAGGAAGAGAGCCTTTGTTGTTCTTTTACAATATTTTTATTTTTAATGGGTATTTTTTTAAGTTAGTCGGTTCGATTTTCAGGTTTGGTTAGGAAGGTTGAGTAATTTAACACTTAACAGGGTTACGTGGTGGGTTTATGACATGGCAAGTCAATTATCTTTAAAAAAAAAAATGAATGACTCAGCATGTTTGTTAGCCACGTCAGCAAAAAACTAACACTGTTAACAGAGACTAATGAAAGTTATCAGAGGGTGACCAAACTTGACCTGTTTTACTAAACCTGGTGACCATGAACGGAATTAAATATTTGTAGTGACCTAATATGAACTTTTTTGTAATCTCAGTGACCAACCATGCAATTAACCCTTTTCTGTTGACTAATTTGTCTGGGCAGTAACATGTATGCACAACAATCTTTGTGGCAGTTATGTTAGTTCAAATCTATCCTGACTGCTAATTGATTCATTGCTTTCAAACACATTGCATTCCTACTCAACCATCTCAGTGAACCTGATGTTTATTTTTCTTCTTTCTCTTGCATCCTTGGCATAATTTTTAATTCATATTCAGACAGTGATAATCTATGTGGATGCATATCAGGTATGTTGCAGAGGGCGGACTCATTGGTGAACGTAAAAGATGGGTGCCTCGAAGAGGGAAAACTCCTCTAGATCCTGACGCCGATGGATTCGTATATTCAGGGCCCATCGAGACATCCTTTAAGCAAAGATGCCTTGAGGACTGGAAGTTATACCATCGAAAACTTTTGAAAATGTTGCGGAATGAGGGACCTGCTGTTCTGGGGGATGCATCTGAATCTGATTATCTAAGAGTTGAAGAGCGACTAAGGAAAATAATTAAGGGTCCAAACCAAAATATTCCCAAGCCCAAGGCTGCCAGTAAGATGATAGTATCTGAATTGAGGGAAGAATTGGAAGCTCAAGGACTACCTACTGATGGAACTAGGAATGTTTTGTATCAGCGCGTGCAAAAAGCAAGGAGAATAAACCGCTCTCGTGGGCGGCCTCTCTGGGTTCCTCCAGTAGAGGAGGAGGAAGAAGAGGTACTGTGTTTAACTCTCTTTCAGTATCGTGTTTGCCCTTTTTACTTTGGAGCAGAAAGAAAGCCTATTTTAGATGCTCATTTTAATGGGGGGCATTCGGATCTGTTGTTCTTTGTTCTCTCAGTTTCATATCTCCCATTTGATTCAACCAGTTTTTGTGGTTTTTGACCGGCTCCATTTGATCAAATTCGATCAATACACTCTTACTTCAAACTTCTATTTGTTCAATTAATATAGACTCCTCATCACTTAAGTTTTCGCTACATTCTCAATTCTAACCCAAAGTTTGTAGGGTGATTTTATTCCCTATCACACAACTCAGATATTCTAATAATTTTAATACCTTGAAAATTTCACAAATTCTGAGACAACCTAGTCATTTAGCCATCACTTCTTATTTTAAATTTTTCACTCACACGTACACTTCTACTATTTGCTTCTATTGACAGCTTCTGTAGTAAACCTTACACCCGTTGAATCTAACGGAGCTGCTTTAGAGAGGATGAATTAAGAAATATTGTTTGTGACAGGTTGATGCAGAGTTGGATGAACTCATTTCGAGGATCAAGCTTCAAGATGGAAATACTGAGTTCTGGAAGCGCCGGTTCCTTGGAGAAGGCTTGAACTCTGATCCAGTTAAGCCTATTGACACTGATGAATCAGAATCAGCAGAAGTTTTGGATGAGGTGGATGCGGGAGATGATGTTGCGGATGAGGCTGAAGATGAGGAAGCCGCTGATGAAGATGAGGAAGTAGAAGAAGTGGAAGTTGAAGTTGAAGTAGAAGAAAGTGAGAACCAAGGTGTCGACAGAGTGGTGAAGCAGAAGGAAGCTGAGGCTAAGAGGCCTCTTCAGATGATCGGTGTCCAACTTTTGAAGGATTTTGATCAGACATATGTATCAAAGAAATCAAAAAGGTCTGCTAGAGCGTCTGTGGAGGTATGGAACGTTTAACTAGTAAGCTATCGAGTTAATTCTCTTAAATTTGTCATCCTAAGGGTGTGTTTGTTTGACTAAAAAGTAATAAGTTGATTTCCAGAGTCATTTCCAAAAGTCCCCTCATTTCATCATCATCCATCCAATCGCTTAGTTTTTAATACTAAAAAATACAGCATGTCCTATTCACTCGACTTTTTTTTCTTCTAAAACCTGAACTGAAATTTCTTCTCTTTTACTAAAGCTTAAAAAGCTCACTAATTTTTTAGCAAAGTTTGAATATGCATCCAATCAAAGCTGCTGCATAGTAACAGTCACTTGAAATGGTGTGCGCTTGCATGCACATTTTGTGGCACGTAGGATGACAATGATGAAGACTGGATTCCTCTAGATCCATTCGAGGCATTCAAGGAGTTGAGGGAACGGAAAGCTTTTGACGTTGATGACATGTATACGATTGCTGATGTATGGGGCTGGACGTGGGAGAGAGAACTAAGGAACAAGTGTCCACAGAAGTGGTCACAGGAATGGGAAGTGGAGTTGGCAATTAGACTAATGCAAAAGGCAATGCTTCAATGGCTCCCCGCTTGTTTTGTTTACTAGGCTCGCTAATCATTTAATTGCCTACCCTCCAGACTTCAACTGAACGAGGTCGTGATGAATCTTCGTTTTCAGGTGATAGAACTGGGAGCAAAACCAACAGTTGGAGATTGTGCGATGATCCTGCGTGCAGCGATAAGGGCTCCTATGCCTTCGACTTTCTTGCAGATCTTACAGATCACACACGGTTTGGGTTATATATTTGGGAGGTAAGTTACCGAATACATGCTTACAGTGATTTAAATAGAAGTAGAAGTTGGTAAAATGTGGATACCAAAAAGAAAGAAGGCAAATTTTTTAGAACAATTTTGCCATGGTGCTCACACAGTGTTTTTCAGAACGTGCTCACAACGCCCCACGTTTGTCGGATTGGGGGCGATCGTGATGACACTTTTTTTACAAAAATGTCACCGCTTTCCTCCCTGATCTGACGGATGCATGGCACTATGAGCACCTTCTCACAGACGCCACGTGATCACCAGAGCCGGGTTGCTTAGAATAGATACCAACTTCAAAGCCACAAAGTAGGAGATGCAACTTTTTCAGCGAGGTTGTTTTCAGCTATTAGTTTTCGTAGGGCAAACCACGAACAGTAATTTCTATAAACAAAAACATTGAGTTCGTATTGTTTTTGTTTTAGCTTTGGGATTCACTTTTGTGGAAGCTGAAATAAAAACATTGAGTTCGTATTACTTAGTTCTGGTTCCGTCTTGTTGTCCCTTACTGGTTTGTTGGTTTCAGCCCCCTATACGACGAAGTAATCGCTGTGTGCATTGAGCTGGGAGAAATAGATGCTGCAATTGCCATCGTCGCAGACATGGAGACTTCTGGAGTAGCAGTTCCCGACCAGACGATAGACAGGGTTATTGCTGCTAGACAGGCGGCTGACGAGATCTACGACAATGCTGCAAATGATGATTCAACATCATGAACAATCTTTTGTGTTGTCTGTATTAGTGTTGAATTTGTCTTGCCAGAAAGATTCTGGCAGCAATATATGAGCTTGACGGAAAGGCAAGCAAGCCAAGTCATTCTCGGCAGTTGGCCAGTAGAAAATGTTAGTAGGTCAGTTTGGGTTGCTTGGGAAGGAATCTTTGTCCTACACCACCACGAATGGCTTACCAATCTCGGTTTGTAATTGGTTCAATAGAAAGAAAAAAATTCAAATGCCGCTGAATCAGCTAATTGGTCGTGCCCAATTTGTGGGAAGACATATTTGTCCCTTAAATTAAACGGGACAATATTAATTTTGGGTTGACAAATGACGCAAACCAAACCAGTCGTGATCTTTGCAAGAAGCCTAGAAGTTTTTAAAATTCCATTCCGAAAAAATTTCATCCATACCACCCTTTTACAGGGATCTCATCCCCCATGGCGATTAAAATGAGGACTGCAGGGGTGTTGCAGTTTTCATTTCTTTCGCCAACAGTTGCATGGGGTCATTATGGTCAGATTGATCGTGTGCCTCTTCAACGATCTTGGTCAAATTGTGGTCACCTTGCGCGGTTTGCATTTCGAATATGAAAACCGTTGCACCCCCACAGGATCCATTGCCTATAAGTTATTTTCATTTGGTGTTTAAGTTAGACATTCTTGAGCAAATCAACAAAGTCGATCAACAACACTTGAGCAAACCAACAAAGTCAAAGAACATAACTCGAGCAAACCAATAAGTTCGAACAACATAATTTAAATGACCAACAAAGTTGACAACATTACTTGAGAAACCCTACAAAGAGCAAACCAACTAAAAAGAAATTATCAAGCAGTCTATATGTCATTATGTGGATTTGAAACGTTAGGCCTGGATTTTCAGGACCGATTGATCCAGTACAAATTCGTTTATCATGACTTGGTACTTTGCATATGGAACAACGCTTTGGTCCTTGCGGAGGTCTTCCAGATTGATCCATCACGTTGGGAATCCTTTTTACCCTCGGTGGTCGCGGTTCACGCCTCTGTCCAAATGGTGGATTGATCACCTTTCCTTCCTAAATTGGCCAGTAAGTTTCGTTCGACAATGAATTGAAACTCTTTCCATAGCATTACTTGACCGAGTCGATATTGAAGAAAGGACTCACGAAGTGGAGGGGGTCTTTGATCCTGGACTTGGTTACGACCATGGCATGAGAACAAAGCAGTCAAAATCGTAGGATTTTAAGATTTTACTTAGGGATTCCGATCCTTATTTTACTATAAAATTGGTGGACCTTAAAATCGTTTAAAATCGGGATTAAAATCGTTAAAATAGTACCAAAATTGGGATTTAAATCGTATGAGAACAAAATGGGAGATTTGAGCAAATTTAAAAAAAGCGGAACTGCTTCAGCGGAAAGGGCAATGATGGGCATCTTCTCATATATTTTTTATATTAAACAATATTTGAAAAGAAAAAAAATCAAATTTGGGCTCGGTCAATCCCTTTCCCTTCGTCCGGTTAACTAATCGGTAAAATAGTTTTCCTAATATTGTACGTACGTAAGAATTAACATCATTATTAACAATTAATTATTATATTTTTATCATCCACTAGCATTAATTATTCTATTGGAGTTCTTTTATTCTTAGTTTTAAATCATGATTAGCAGACGATGTTGAGATTAACCGGGCCGAAGTACTACTTTGAGTTAAACTAACTATACACAACATGAAAAACAAGAGCTAAGCCCCATGAGCTCTATCCTTTCCTCGTGAATTATTTTGTGTTATGCATTTAAAAACAATTAAAATGATGATTTTGGAACATTAATCTTGAGAATTATCATTTTAAATGTTATGTGTCTTTGTTTTATTAAATGATTTACCTTATTAATAAGATTATATATTAGCTTCCATATGGAACTTAAAATTCTACGATTTTAGGATTCGATTTTACCTAAGTTTTTCGATTTTAGGTAAAATCCCTATTTTCACTACTTTGCATGAGAACAAGGCAATCCTCTCCCCTGATACTGTCAAATAATCAAGAACAAAGAAGGAACACCGAAGTTTTTTAACGTGGTATCGTCAGTATGACACTAGCCCACGGAGAGAATCTACCTCTCAGGTTTTTGTATTATGTTTTGGTTACCTTTTCATCAAGAATACAAGGTACATATATAGGTTTCTCTGAAAACCCTATACTACACGACTAACGATATTTATACATTTGGTACACATATTATTATAAACTAACAGATACTTAGGGAAGCAACACTCTCCATGTTTTGTCCTTAAGTTCACCTTGACTTCATGTAGATTCCCCCCATGTCTGTCATCCTCCCAATGCTAGGTCTCAACTGTATACTCGCCAGCATCTCGGTTCATGGTGATGAACTCATGCCGACCACTCTTGTATTTATATCTGTCCATGATTTTTAGGGCCTTAATGGCGTGGACCTTACCTTGTGCCTCCTTCGCCCTTGCCCAGTGGAGTCGATTGAGAAACCATTCTTTCGTTCTCCAGAATGTGTCATCCCCCCAATGACAGAGATTAGCAGTGCGTGAACAACCTTGTAGACGGAGCTGATACTCTCACTTGAGTTTGTTCTGGCAAAACACCTCCTGGTACCTCCGTCCTTACGAAAAGTCCACATGGATAGGTCATGTTGATCAAGCCATTGTGCACCTTCAAGGCATAGCTCACGGAACTTTTGCTACTTCTCCATTAATTTCTTCTCTTGGTAGGCAATAGCTGCAGGACATACATAAGGGCATGTTAACATTTGTGTACAATGAACCAAGACCAACATAACTTCACTGCGAAATAGAAAGCTTACAAGTCCACCACAGATTATCAGCAAGCTTCCTCCGCTAGAAATGATGGTTCCAATTGCTCTTGAAGTGTTGTATGCACCTCATCTGGAACCACCCCCACGCTCGATCTGCTGAATTTCTTCATCTTGGTAGCACGGGGAGAAAACAATATCGGGATTAGACTTCTCTAACGCCAAAATCAATATGGGAAGGTATGCATATTATTCTTCCCAGTCACCAAACATGGCGGCTATTTCTTTTTGCTTTCCATGCCACCTCTTCTTATAGTTTATATGATATCTATAATGACTTGAAATGTGGGTGATGATGATTATCAACTCCAGGTCGCGTTGTTGCTCAATCAGGTGCTTGATGGTCGCGGCAACTACACTCGAAGTCAATAAGTGATGGCCTCGGGATGTTATGGATGACACACATGTGTGAGTGTTCACCGCATGTGTGTTGACCCAACACCCTACTATCTTGCTCTTGATGGCCCGGACCCTAGCCTTGCATCCCTCATGATTATTTTGGCATCTAACTATGAGCCTATTTGGGTTAAAATGTGGTGTGCGCCATTCAAAACCCCTATTCATTGCTTCTGTGTACACAACGTTCCAAACCTCCTTCTTTCAACCAAATTATTAGCGCGTCTTAAACCCAGTAGTTAGACCCCATATTGGCACCTCTAGGTGCTCCACGTCGGCATCAACATACCAATTTTTATTTGGAATGTTCTTGTAGTATGGGATAGGCACACGGTCACGGGACACCTCATCATCATTTGAGTCTGAATCTAGTCCTGAATCATCAGCACCTCCAAGAGGGTCGAAGCTGTCTGCACTCCAATTGTCTTCCTCTTCTTCATCTTCAAAGTCACTAACTGGAGTTGGCTACACATCTTCCATCTCATCTAGATCATGAAAGGCGCCATCTTCAGCTCTGTAATGGTAGTTGTGATAACTACTACTGTTTTCATGGAAGTTGTACTCGGGTTGGTACTGTTATCCGTCTTATTGGTTGTCATGGTACCATCAAAATTCTTATTCATATGAAGAGAAGGGCTGATGATGATGGCCTCCACCTCCTTATTGGTACTCATGGTAGCCTTAGTAGGGATGATCTTCTTTATACTCCACCCCCATTGATTCGGGTCCAATTCTACACATTTTCCCCCCATATCTTGATCGTTTGGCTTTGCATTTCATCGTCCCTCGACATATTTCACGCTAGGTTGTGATTGTTTTAATACTTTTAGGTCCTAGCACGCGTGGAAGGGTCGAGGACGAGTTTTGGGATGATTGGAGGTCGAAAAGCGCAAAAAGACCTAAAAAACGTCCGAAGCCCGTGATAGTGAAGCACAAGCGTCCATGAAGCAGCCGCAGTTCACGGCCTGACATAGGAGTTCACGGTCTCTAAGGCCGTGAACTGGAACCACAACCAGTGAATAGCGAGGCGCCCAGCTAGGTTCCAGAGGTTACTGATAATAAGACAGTTCACTGTCTGTAAGACCATGAACCCTGGAGAGTGAAGCGGTGTGTTTTGGATACGACACTGAGTTCACGGACGCATTAAGATATTGACGACCGTTAACTGGCCAACGTGGCCATGAACAATGCAGTCAAAATCGGGATTTTGATAGTAAAATCGTAGGATTTTAGGATTTTACTCAGGGATTCCGATCCTGATTTTACTATAAAAATCGACGGACCTAAAAATTGTTCAAAATAGGGATTAAAATCGCTAAAATCGTACCCAAATCGGGATTGTGATCTTATGTGAACAAAATAGGGAGCTTGAGCAAATTCAAAAGAAGCAGAACTGTTTCGGTGGAAAGGGCAATGACGAGGATCTTCTCATATATTTTTCCTATTAAAAGAACATTTGAAAAGAAAAAAATCTAATTAGGGTTCGGTCAACCCCTTTCCCTTCTCCTTGTTTAACTCATCGGTAAAACAACTGTCATAATATTGTATGTACGTAAGAATTAACATCATTATTAATAAATTATTTGATAAATGAATATTTTTTTTACCAAACCAATGACATTAATTATTTTTTGGAGTTCACTTATTCTTAGTTTTAAATCATGCTTAGTTGACGATGTCGGAATTCTACTTTGAGTTAAACTACCTAGACACAACATGAAAACAAGAGCCAAAACCCATGAACTCTATCCCTTCCTCATAAATTATTTTGAGTTACGCATTAAATAACAATTAAAGTGATGATTTTGGAACATTAATGTTGAAAATTATCACTTTAAATGTTACAAGTCTTCGTGTTATTAATTATTTACCTTATTAATATTATTATATGTTAATTTCTATATGGTACTTAAAATCCTACGATTCTACAATTTCGATTTTACCCCAGTTTTCGATTTTAGGTAAAATCCTAATTTTAACTGCTTTGGCCGTGAACTGGGCACTTTCGGGCAAATATAAAAACAGCAGCAGAAGGAAGGAGGGGTGCTGGTTTTTGGGAGAAGAGACACCTTCTTTCTCTAAGGTTGCCACCAAAAACACCAAAGGGGAGTTTTAGTGTGAGAGAGAGAGTGATCTTGGAGCTTAATTGAAGGCATTGATCAATCTTGGAAGCTAGGAATCAAGCCTAGAAGAAGAAGATGAAGATCTAGAGGTTTCTTTGTAATCTCTCCTCTCGCTCTCTAGAAACTCACCCTCTTCTCTTGGGTTTAAGAACCCTAGGCTAGATTTGGGTTTAATGTTGATGTATGTGGCAAATTCCATGATTAATTGATGATTTTACTTAATTGATGGATGTTTTCATGAATGGCATGAATTGGGTTTCCATTTTCATGTATTGAGCTTTTGACCTAGGAGGGAGATAATCCCCTTAGAGCCCCCCTTTTGGCGTCTTCGGGTCACTCCTATAGTATATTTTCCGGGTATTCCCCGAAGGAGTTTATTCGACCGGTCTCCTAGCATTATACGAAACCCTAGGTTGAATAGAGCACTACCCATCCATCGATTCAGCGGTCCGGGTCATTCCCGAGGGAGTCCATCTCCAAACTTTAGTGTATTTGAGTCGATCGAGCTAGGAGGATACCCAATATTGCTCCAAAGAACGGACCTAAGACAATAAAATACCACCTCGCCATTCCTTATTGCGCACTTCAGTCAAAACTTTTGTCGCTCCATCTCCGGAGGGGCAGATTCAACCCAAGAGAGCTCCCCACCTTGTAAATAGCTAGGTTAGTGGTTAGTCTAGGTTAGTTAGTTTAATTATATCAATCACTATCCTAGGTTGGCTAGATAACGAACCCTAAACCTGAAGTAGGGTAAGCCTAGATCCCCGTGGTACAATAAATTCTTATTGCTTGCTTGCCCTATGCTACACCCGGTCGACGGTTATACTTGACCGTCGATCGGGATGTTGTAGTTAGAACGAGTCAAGTTTTTGGTGCCGTTGCTGGGGAACCATTCTAGGTTATTTGAAAAAGGGTTAGGCCGTTACGCCGTTTTGTTTTTTGTTTTGTGTTTGTTGACCCACTTTGCTCTTAGAAGGGTGGTTTGTGTTTGTTTGATTTTGTTTTTGTGTTTTAGTTTATATAGGTTGAATCATGGATTCCAATGGCTTCTACAACATGTGGCGGTATCCACCACCACCCGAATGGGTGTACCCTGGAGCTTCATGGAGTGACCAAGAAGGTGGAATCCAAGGAACCAAATTCTATGATCCACCTCCCTTCCAAGAAGAATAACCATACCAATGGGGGTATCAAGAGGCTTCCCCATACGAAGAAAACTTCCCTCCACAAACCAAGGAGAAATTCAAGTTGGAGTTGGCAATGGAGGATTTCATGGGGCATTCCTCAGGACCATGTACCACTCCGCAACCGGAGCCAAAGAGCAAATTGGAGCTCTTGGTTGAGCGGTTTGTTCGAGGCACCGACGAAGGGTGCTCAAGCTTGGATCTTCCACAACCCAAAGAGAAGTCCAAGTTGGAGCTTATCGTGGAGAAATTTGTAAGAACAAGCTCCAACACGGATTTCCAACAGCTCCCTCCCCCTGGTTTGACATTAGAAGAGAAGGTGGCACTTGCTTGTGCAAGCTATCGCCTCTCATCATTGGAGGAGAAAGAGGAGGTTGAAGGACCGATCAATGACAACCGTGTGGAGCAAGAAGAACTCACCTCGGAGAGCTCCCGTGGTGAGGATGAACAAGAAGGTTGCATTGATGACTTTCACACCCTTCCCGAGAGCAAATTTGAAGTCCAAGTCACTAGTATGGAGGAGCAAGAGAATCCTTTCTATGATCTTGCATGGCATCTTGCCCTCCAAACCTTGCTTGAAGACATGAATGGGAAGGTGAAAGAAGAGGGCGAAGAGGAGAAAGTGAGCTTTGAAGAAGAGGAAGATCTTGATGGTTCCCAAAGGGAGGAGCAAAGTGAAGAAAAAGGAAGGGAGGTTAAGGTTGAAGTAGAAGATGCAAGTGAGGTCCAAGATGAAGACGGGGTCGAGGTGGGTGAAGCTTCAACGAGTTGCACATGATCCAAAAGCTTTCCAACTGACACGCCTCTACCGTCACACTAGAAAGTGGCCAAGTGTAACCACCTACTAATGCGTAGTATAGCGGGTTTAGTTATAAATGTCAACCTGGGTCCTAGGTGTGATGACTACTCCGTGAAAATCTTATTATTTAGCAGTTCAAGTGTAGTGAAGGTCTAACTAAACTAGCAAGCAAAAGCAATGAAAGTTGTGTTCAAGTTGAGAGAGGTCACCCAGATATGGTTCCCCCTAGACTCCAGTTAAGCCAAGTTGTAATTCACCAAGTTCAAGTTCAATGATAGTTATACCGCAGGAGGTTCTTAGACAGTCTGCAGTCTTGACTAAAGGTCTCTAGACCCTCTCAATTTGAGTCCCCAGCGGGCAACTAACCTCCACCGGAGTAAACACATTGAGGCCCTAACGAACCAAACCTCCTCTACCGGAGTAAATCCGGTACAGAATAGTGAATTGACTCCTCGACTAAAGTCATCAATTCACTACCTTCAATCAAGGGTGCTCTATCAACCTAGGCAGATATTCTCTTTCTAGGTCAAAGCAGAAATAACAGGAATTTGATCAGGATTCCTGCCATTCAGGAAATCAAATCTCAATTGAATATAATAAATATCAATGAATTTGTACTTGGGTTCATACAATCAGACCTCACATACAAATCTAGGGTTCTTCAAACCCAAGTGGAGATTTTGGTTTGTCACTCTCTCTCTCTCTCTAGGTATCTGCTTTCTTTCTCCAAAACTCGGAACCCTTGTAAAATTGGCCTTCTTTCCCTCAAAAGGGAGCAGATCGCGATCCCTGGTCATAATACCCAGTCTGGTATTTCAGCTGCCCGGCCGGGTATGTTAACGCAATGCAGTGGGGAAAGGGAAATACCCGATCGAGGTTCAGAATACTCAATCGGGTATTTTAGCAATCCGGCCGGGACCCCCTCTTGCATTTTACCTGGTCGAGTATTTTAACTCCTGACTGGGTATTTTCTTCTTCCAGCGCCCCTTCACTCTAGCGTCCTCCTTTTTGACCCGAAACTCGTTTCCATGCCACCATATCAACGCCAAGTCCTGAAATATGACATAACGCACAACCTAGCGTGAAATGGGCTTAAAACACGAGAATTGACTCTCAAACGGCTCAAGAATGGAGGTATAAACATGTGCAATTCATGGTCTATCAAATGCCCCCACACTTAACCATTTGCTTGTCCCCAAGAAAACCTAACTCAAACCAGTGCAACTCTCTAGACCTGTATAGCAATACACAACCCCGATCGTCGCTGAGGATTTCCTAGATAATATAGCAGCTTACGAGGTCAACTGGTCTTCTAAGACATCCCCTATCTCTCTCAATGCGAGTACTAGACTCAAGCCAAGATCATGAGAAGTAGTGGAATTAAGACAACCAGTTCATGGGTAAAGGGACTCACATCATTCAACCACCAAGGACTCATTGTACCGGGGTGCCCTTTCACTTCATGTCAACCGTTGAAACCCCTTTACGCACATTCATTTTACATTTCTCTTTTTTTTTTCATTCACTCTGCGGGGGTTCCAACTGCAGTTTTTTGTACAGTCGACCCTTATTAGTTGAGAAAGAGCAATTTCTATACATCTGGCACTCGCCAGAGTACTTCCTTTAACTCCTTTTCCTCAACTCGTGTGGAGGGTCAATGAAATTAAGGGGGGTCGGAAGCTCTATCCGTGCCCTTAAAAACACATCCTCGAGTAGGCAAATCGTTCAACGGGTGAAATTTTTACTTGTACTAGAGACAACTTAGCTTCACCTTGTAGGAGTACCCCACTAAGGATCACTAAAATCTCTTCCAAAACCTGATTTTGTGCAATGAACGGTGCCACACACGTTGGGCCTACCCCATGTTTAAGATGTCAATTATTCCGACATGGAGGACCAACTGCTTTTCATTTCACACATGAGCACCCTGTTTCGATACACGAGTCCACAACACAATTTAAAAGGAGTCACGAGTACCACATGAATTCAACGGTCTTAAATCCACTAGTTCACAAAATCAACCGGCACAGCAGAGAGATAGATAGGAAAAATCTTATACTTCAACATACTCCATAGTGCTACACTACCTCCCTAGGTTGCATATCACCATAAAGACTGTGAATTCAAAGCATACTGAGCAGGTTATCACAGGGAACCATACTTGGAGCCCTCAAATTTACAAAAAATTTGGATAGTGGACTAGGCCCCAAGTACACAAACAGATCTAGGCAGTCAAATAGAAACATACCCCCTTCCCCACACTTAAGTTCTACATTGCCCTCAATGGAGAAGAGGGAAGGATAAGGGGAACGATGTTACACGTATGCGCAGACTGCAGTGAGCTGGAAGGTGGACCAGTCAGACTGAAGTAGACTGGAATGGGACCAGTCGGTGCAAAGGCACGGCTAAAGAAGACACAATCACTCAAGCACAGATACATTAGGTCAATTGTCATCCCAATAGTACATCATCCAAAGGAAAAGAAAACAAACCAAACAAAACACCACATTCTGTTTGCGCTACGACTCGAACACACCACAAAACAAAGGAAAAAGGGAAAAAGAGATGCAAACCGTGGTGGGGTTGCCTCGCCACATGGTGGATTCTCTGAGGGGTGCATGAACAAGTGCCTCCAAGAGAGCATCCACATCGCTCTTGAGGTACAGCTTCAAATGGTGGCCATGCACCCGACCGCTAGAATTTGTAAGCTCGACCTGGCCATCCGCCAGGATGCAAGCAAGTGAGTACTCGCATGGCCAGGGTGTTCGTAGTTCAGAAGGTGGGACGAGCTCATAGTGGTCGCCAGCTTTCTTCCCTGCAGGCTGAGCTGCCTGGAACTTCGACTGCCACTCCTCCTTGATTGTTTTATTTGGTAGTAAGGCCGAAGGGAGTGGCGGCTAAGGATTGAGATGGGGATCCTGCAAAATGAGAGGCACAGAAGTATACACAACAGGCACGTGCACCTGGTGAGAAATAGTACGCACATGCAAGGCAGAATGCATATTATTAGTGATAGAGAAATTTATCTGCTCCTCGCCATCTCTCAAGACCAAAGTCCCATCACGTACATCTATGAGGGCCCTAGCGGTGGCCAGGAAGGGCCTTCCTAGAATAAGGGGCACTTCTGTGTCTTCATTGATGTCTAAGACAACAAAATCCACATGATAACAAAATCTGCCAACCTTAACCAGGAGGTCTTCCACTATGCCCCTAGGATGTACCACAGATTGGTCAGCTAATTGAATACTCATCCTAGTTGCGCTGGGTTCACCTAGGCCTAGTCTTTTGAACAATTTGTATGAGATAACATTGATACTAGTACCTAGATCCGCCAGGGACCTCTCTATATGTAATTTGCCAATGGAGCACGGGATAGTAAAAGTAGCTGGGTCCTTCTGCTTCTCTGGCAACTTGCTTTGCAGAATGGCCGAGCACTCCTTGCTCAACATCACTGTCGAGAGATCCCCAAGTCGCTTTTTTTTTGTGAGGAGGTCCTTCATGAATTTGGCGTACTTGGACATCTTCGACAGTGTCTCCACGAACGGCAGGCTGCTGTTGACCTGCTTCAACATTGCCATGAATTTGGAAAACTGAGTCTCCATCTTGTCTTTGTGTAGTCGATTGGGGAAGGAAAGTTGGGGGATATGCTCCTTAACCACTAGCTCTGGCTTGGGAGCAGGTGCTTCGCTCTCCATCCCTACTTCTGCATCGTCGGCGGGAAGTGCTGAAACAGGTAGGGGCTCCTCCTGCCTGGCTGGGGCAGGTATCGCCGATGTTGTCCTGCCACTCTTGGTAGTGATGGCATTTAGCTGCTGGTGAGGCTCGCGAGGATTGGGGATGGTGGTAGAAGGCAGAGTTCCCGGTGCCCTGGTATTGTTCTGGCAAGCTATTCCTCCAATCTAATTCTGGAGGTCCTGCAATGTGGCATCTTGGTTCCTCTAGCCTGCCTCCAGCGAGGTGATGCTCTGGTCCATCCTGGCGAAATTCGCCTGACTGGTAGTCATGAACGCTTGCCGAATGTTTTCAGGAGCTGCTGGTGGTAGTGCATACTGGTGCTGCTGGTGGCGAGGCATACTGGCGCCGCTGATGCGGAAATGGATCCTGCCAGGCCTGGAAGGGCTGCCTCTGCTGAAAACCACCAGCTGGTGCTGGGAAACAACGTGGTTTAGTGGTGTTGCTGTTATTGCCATTCCAAGAGAAGTTGGGGTGCTAGCACCACCCTTCATTATATGTTCCACTGTAAGGGTCAAGGCGCCGAGCATTGGCGATGAAGGCCAACTGCTCCTGGGGTGTAGAAGACTCCCGCATAGCCTGGCAGTCTTCCATCAGATGGTTCGAACTCTCACACCACTAGCACTGTGCAATTGAAGGCCTGACCAATCCTCTGCCCGGAATAAGACTGTTGGGCTGCTTCAATGTCTGGACCAACTCGGCCACTTCCCGCTCTAGAACGGACCTAGCCTCCATGGCATGCACACCTCGGTTCCGGGAACTCCTGCTTCTGGTGCTCTGCCCCCAAGAATGATCTCTGGCAGGCAAAGTACTGATCATCTGATTCCGCTTGGATGGAGTCTTAGTAAGAATGTCCCCTCATGGGCATAGAGACTCAATCACCCTCTGGCTTTCCGGAGAGAGAGCACTGTAGAAGTTCCCCACTGTGAATGCATCACTAAAGCCGTGATGGGGATACTGCCAGAAAAATCCCGAGTACCGCTCCAAGGCATCACGTAGTGACTCATCTGGCTCTTGGCGGAAATGAGTGATCTCCCGCTGAATCTCCATGATCTTCGAGGCTGGATAGTACCTGTACACAAATTTGTCGGCCAAGTTGTCCCATGACTTGATGGACAGTGGGGGCTAGGTCTCTAACCACCTCTTCGCATGCACTGCCAGAGAATGGGGGAAAAGGTGGAGACGGATCGCATCATCGGGTACATCATTCATTTTGAACCCATTTGTCAGGTGCAGGAATCGGTAAAGGTGCACCCTCGCCTCTACATCCTTCAAGCCGTGGAACTGGATAGAGGATGTGATCAGTTGAATCCAACATGGCTTGATCTCAAAGTTATTTGCTGGGATGGACGGATACATGGTGACTAAGCGGATGTTGGCTACCCGTGGAGTGTAGTAGTACTCCATAGTAGGACCCGGCGGGGGTGGTGGATGCTGAGCCCCATCTACCTGGGAAACTGGGTTGTTTGCCAGGATCTGATTCACTGGGGGAACCTGCGTCGGCATCCCTAGGGGTTGATTCTGCCCTAGGTTAAGGTTCCCCCTGTTGTGCTCGTCGCCCATCTCGTATTCCTCTTCGGAGCCGCTGCTCATATGGCCGTCGAGCACTTCCTCCGTAGCAAGTCTTGCTCGCTGTTGTCTCCTTAGCCGGAGACAGGTGCGTTCTAGCTCAGGATCTAACGGTAGTAAACCTCCCGACTGGTTACGGGTCATGCAGTACCTGCACACAGCGAAGCAAGCAAACCCGTGAAGGCACAAGTGGGACAAGGAAAACAGTCAATGCGGAAAAGAAATGCTAAAGTAACAGAAATCACGTTTCTTCAACAACCTAGCCGTCCGCGGCAATGGCACCAAAAACTTTCCAAATGACACGCCTCTACCGTCACACTAGAAATTGGCCAAGTGTAACAACCTTCTAATGCGTAGTATAGCGACTTTAGTTATAAATGTCAAATCGGGTCCTAGGTGTGATGACTACTCTGTGAAAATCTTATTATTTAGCGGTTCAAGTGTAGTGAAGGCCTAACTAAACTAGCAAGCAAAAGCAGTGAAAGTTGTGTTCAAGTTGAGAGAGGTCACTCAGATATGGTTCCCCCTAGACTGCAGCTAAACTAAGTTGTAATTCACCAAGTTCAAGTTCAATGATAGTTATACCGCGGGAGGTTCTTAGATAGTCTGCAGTCTCGACTAAAGGTCTCCAGACCCTCTCAATCTGAGTCCCCAACGGGCGACTAACCTCCACCGGAGTAAACAGATTGAGGCCCCAATGAACCAAACCTCCTTTACCGGAGTAAATCCGGTACATAATAGTGAATTGACTCCTCGACTAAAGTCGTCAATTCACTACCTTCAATCAAGGGTGCTCTAGCAACCTAGGCAAATATTCTCCTTCTAGGTCAAAGTAGAAATAACAGGAATTTGATTAGGATTCATGGCATTCAGGAAATTAAACCTCAATTGAATATAATCAATATCAATGAATTCGTACTAGGGTTCATACAATCAGACCTAACATACAAATCTAGGGTTCTTCGTACCCAGGTGAGTGAGAGAGTTTACTCCATGGAGAGAGAAGGGAAATCTAGCTCAGATGCAGAAAACATGATGTGAAGGATGAGATTCTGCTTCTGGCAATCAATCTGCACTTCTCCAAGCTTAAGCCGAGCTCCAATGGTGATGAAGATTGATCTACGACGCTTGGAGATTCTGGTTCGTGACTCTCTTTCTCTCTAGGTATCTGATTTCTTTCTCCAAAAGTCGGAACCCTTGTAAAATTGGCCTTCTTTCCCTCAAAAGGGAGCAGTCGCGATCCCCGGTCATAATACCCGGTCGGGTATTTTGAAACGCAGCGCAGTGGGGAAAGGGAAATACCCAATCGAGGTTCAGAATACCCGATCGGGCATTTTAGCTATCCGGCCGCTGCCGGGACCCCTTCTGGAATTCTAGCGTCCAAAACGTGTGATCCCCGACCTACTCTTGCATATTTCCCGGTCGGGTCTTTTAACTCCTGACCGGGTATTTTCTTCTTCCAGCGCCCCTTCACTCTAGCGTCCTCTTTTTTGACCCGAAACTCGTTTCCACGCCTTCATATCAACGCCAAGTCCTGAAATATGACAT